ATCGAACTTGCCCCGACCTGACCTTCTAACAGCTATATGTACATATTAGTGTTATGCACGGTACGGTATTACCGCGGTATTTTCCGGTATCGGTATTTTACCGAAAATACCGATACCGCAAAATCGCGTTTGACCAACACTAGTCCTGGCCCCTAGCAGTGAGTACTCTGCTTTTCCCCTTTAAACTCGCCTGAATGTTTAAAAAATCCCTTTACTCTCTTTTTTTTACAAATTTTACAATTTAATTTTCTAAAGTTCCTTCAGTTTCCGCCAATCTGGCAAAAAATATTAATAAAATAAATAAATAAAAATAAAAAATTTGTTTTACGTTTTTATGGAATGTTGAAAAGAAAAGAGGATTAATAAATAAACAGACTAATTTTGTTTAGTGAATATGTACACCTTTGCCTTTTTTATTAGATACACTTTCAGCAATACCTTCTTCTTAGAAGAAGACACTGCTGGAATGTACTGCCAGAAAAATTGTTTCCACTAGAAATTTTAAATCCTCTTAATACAAATCCACAAATATAAATAAAAGGAAATGGAAATTATATTTTAATTTTTTTTATTATCCCAAAGTCTTTATGAACAGTCTAGGACGAAGTTAATGTAAAAAAAACTTTTAAAGCTAATTCTGAAAAAAATTATATTTACACAGAAACTCAAAAATTCCCATCCAGAATTATTTAACAAATACACAAAATATTTCCTCGTTACCGAAAATTAGGGTTGTTGACAAAATGTTAATTTTTCCCTATGGCGTCTCTTATTATTCTCTATTTGAGATGCCACAATTAAAGGTTAACCGATCACCCCCCCCTCTCCTCTACCGGAAATATCAAAAAATATTTTTAGAAAAATTTTTTTATGACCAATGTAAAATGCACTATAAAATTATTAAATTTTCTGACCTTTAACTACGTCAAAGACTAAAAACAAATAAATACAATTAAACTAAAGTGTTTCCAATTTTATAAATTTTAATCTGGATCAAAAACATTTTATTACATAAATAAACACCCACACAAAAAACATTAAAAACCTAATTTTGAAATCCTTTTAAAAAAGGAAAACTCTCTAAAAAACTTCCCCTAAATTAAACCCAAACACATATAAATATCCGTATTAATCAACCAAAAAACTTTTTATTTTAGCTGTTAATCTTTTCAGTTCACCACGCCTCTTCCTAAAAAATATTTTTTAATTATAATCTTTTTTACTTCCTTCTTTATCAAATAAAAAGAAATTTTTTTTACTCAAAATTTTTAATTCTCCATTCTTTAATTTTTTATCAGTTAATTGATATACCTACATATATAATTACAATTAAATCGCAACTAAATAAATATTTTTACACATTCACACAATTATTTTATTTTATTTACATTCCTTTTTGCTTCACTAATTTTATAAAAATTACTAAACTACGATATTTAGTAGTCACAAAATAAGTATAATACCTCTAAATATACACTCCTTTTGCTCTGACAAAAATTTATAAAATAAAATTAATTAACAACAAAAATAATTTTAAAATCTAATTTTTCACGCAATTCTAATAAAAAAAATAATTGTACTAACAATTGTACCAAAGATATTTTTTTGATTTCAAAAAAAGGCAAAATTGGAATTGATACTTATTTGTATTTAGTAATTGTTTAAAAAAATTCAGAGAATTCCAAAAAAAAACTTAGAAGAAAGAAATATATACACCTCACCCTCTCCACTAAAGTAAATCCCCTCACTTATAGTGGACATTTTTTAAAAATCTGATTTGCCATATAGCTGGAGGAAGCTGCCTAACTAAAGATAACTTCCAGTATTTGGCAAAACTTACTTTTCGGTATTTTTTAATTGTCCATTGATGCTTTATATTATACACCTATGTACATATTTAATGGCCTTTTGTGGGATATTTTTTAAAATAATTATTTTGCTAAATATAATTGTTTATTTCCTTATTTATTTATTGGCCACACAAATTCTTTTTTTTTCAAAATTAATTATTAATATATTAAAAAATGTATTTGGATGTGAGAAATCCTTAAAAGTAGATATTATACTTAATTTTTTTAATTTTTTTAAAAATAATTCTAATGCAAGTCAAATATAGTTCCCCTCCAAAAATTTTTTTAAAAAATTTCTCACATCATTTTTGACATAAAAATATTTTTATTTTAAAAATTGTAGGACAAAAACAACCTTTGGAACAATAAAGAAATTTTTGTTCTAGTAAATCAAAAATGGCGTCATTTTCCCACAAAGTCCCCCCCCCTAAAATTTATCCCCAGATTTAAAAAAATTAATTTATATTTTAGTATTATTTTAGTAATTCATTTTATAATTTTTAACAAATTTAAAAAATTATTTCAGTAAATCTAAACAAAAAAAAACTACCTATATTTATTTTAAGAAAAATTTTTTGGAGGATTAATGGAAGTATATTATATTTAAATCCGTTTAGATATAAATATATCCGTTTAAAAAACACTTAAAGAAACACCCAAGCATAATATATAACACACAACCAAAACATGCCCTTATATATTAATTTAGAAAAAAAACAAACAAAAAATTGTGTCGAAAATAACTACCAAATTACGTCAAATCCTTCCACATATGTACTATTTTTATTTCAATTTTAAAAATTCTATTTTTATCGGTTAAAGTGTTAAAAGGCTTACAAAATTAAAAAAAAACTTTCGCGAATATTCTCTTTTATTTTATAGCCAGAATAATTATTGTTAAATTTAGATTAAACAAAAGCCACACAAAGGCATTATTACTAAAACTACATTTAATAATTTATTATTTTTATATTAATCAAAAAATGTCAACATTCAATACTTCAACAACAACAACTTCAAGACGGCAACAAAACACAAATTTATTCAAACAACTTTTATTCTTACTGCTAATATTAAATTATGTAGCAGCAAAAACATTATTTGATGTTGATGATATTTGTGAATGTGGAAGTAGATGTGTTGGATTTGGAGCTAAACATTGTGTTAGGTAAAAGAAAAATAATTCAACTACTTTTACAAAATTCTCATTTTTTTAAAGATGTTGCACAACAGTAATGCGTCGTTCAGTTCCACTAACAGAATATCCAATGGAACAATTAAAAGAAGCAGCAAAAATAAAAAATATAGCAAATACAGAAGAGGAAAAACAACAAAATAATTTAATTGAAAAATTTGTAAGAGATCAAGAAAGAAAAATGAAAAAAGAAAATATTGAAGAAGAAAATAATGTTGATGATGAACAACAAAGGAAATTAAATCGACTAGAAAAAAAGTAAAATAATATTTTCAAACAAATTTTATTCCCCTCTTCTTTTTTAGATCAAACAATTTTCAATTGTTCATTCCTTCAATATTGCTGGATCGAGCATATCTTCGGACAGAAGAAAAAAATGTCGATCAAATTGTAAGGCGGAGAAGACATTCAATATTTACAAACGAAGAGCAACAACAATTGAGGAATTAAACACTCACAAACACTCTCAATAAAATAATTTTCCTTTTTCAACATTTTTAACTACGCAACGCGCATAAAAACAACACAAATAATATTTTCCTCAAAAAATTTTATTTTTTATCCCACACATTTTTATTACTTTTTTGTCCTCTACTTAAGACATGGTCAGTGTTTTGGCTAAAGAAAACTCCCCCCACAACAGCATAACAAATAAAATAAAAATACAAGAGAATTACTTGTATCAAAAACAAAAAAGTGTTCACGCCAAGAAAAGAAGAGGGAGGAGCAGATAAAATGGATTTAATAAAGATGAAAATTAAAAAATGATGGAAATGATTTACAAAAAAAGTAGAAGAAATTTAAGCAATTTTTGTAATTTTTATTTCTTTTTCTTTCTCTCCTTTCTTGACTAAACACGGGTTTTTTTTCTTCTTAAAATATTTTTTTCACTCCTTTTCCCCCGGCTGCTTTTAATTTTTTTTCTATCAAAATCCTCAATTTCTTTAATTTCTAATTTTCTTTAATTCCCCTTATTTTTGGGTCTCTTGACCGTATATTTTTTCCTATAAAATAATATCAACGCGCATTTTTATATCGATAAAATTAATCATTTTTTTGTATAACATTTTTCCATAAACTAACTTAAACAATAATAGTCAAAAAATGATATATTTTATCGCGATACTCACTAAGCCTCAAAAAATAATTATTCCCCCATTTATTTACTCCAAATATTTAAAATGTTTTTCAAGTCTAATTCACCCTATGACCATTTAAATAATTGGAGTAAAACATTTCTTTGTCATTCTCCAAATTCCTTCAAGAACAATCTCATTGTTAAATTTAGTTTATTTGTTTTTACAAAAAAGGAAGAAAAGCACAGAATTCATTCCAAGTTTTTAGAAAACAAAACAACTTTCTTGAAAATTTACAAGTTTCTTCCTTCCTTTACCAATTTTAATCTTTTTCAACATTTTTTTTCTCTCGAAAACAAACATTTGCGCGTTGCTTTCAACAATGTTTAATTTCTTCATACATTTATTTTCCTGATTTTTTTCTCTTTTCTTAAAAATATTCCAAAAATATCACACAAAATCTTTCTATTTTTAAAAAGAACATTTCTAACATCTTCACAAGCTTTCACTTTTTTATTCTCAATTGTTGTTTTAGCCCTTCAATTTGTGTTAGATCTATCACTAGAAAAATTAATTTTCCCCTTTCTCTCTCTTATTATTCTAAATTCATCTTTTTTTAATTTTAAAAATTTCTAGTTGATGTGATTAATGATATTAAATTTTGTTGTTGAAGTTATTTTCTCTTGTGGATAAAATACTAAAAAATACTAGACTTACCTATTCCTAATTAAACTAGAAAACGTGAAAAACTTTAAAAATTTATTTTTCAGACATAAAAACAAACAAATATACCTAACATTTAAATACTAACCACACATAAATATCATTATTAACTGGGATATCATCTTTAAGTGTCAAATAAAGCACAAACAATTAAACCTATTTTTTAATATTACGCGCCGCCTCTTCTTTCCACTGCTTAAATGATGTCAACGCTTTTTCTGTCATCCAACTAGAAGGATTAAGCAATTCTTTATCCCAGTAAGCACCTCTCATCGTTGGATTAATCTTACATCCAATCCACTGACGATACATAAAATAGTCCTAGACAAAAAAAGAAAAATAAGAGACGAACATTTAAACGAATCTTGGGGGATTTCACGATAAAAAACTTTGTTAGACCTTTTTCACCTTGACTGCATATTTAAAATATTCATTCCCCTACAAGCTATATGGAAATAAGCAAAATACCTGTAAAGCATGTTCTCGAACCAATTCATAAGGAAGCTTCTGAGGAGTGCTAAATCCAATAAATTTAACAATGCACATGTTATCATCTTCGGCAGTCATTCCAAGAATACTTTCCACCTAAAAATCGAGCAAAATTCTGAGTTATAAACTCCAAAAAATTAAACCTTCCATCCGAGATCAAATCCATTCTTCTGGTTCGGCGAATTAAAAATACGAACCTTGCCTTTGAAAATACTATCAACACTAATTGGCTAAAGATTAAAATTTAGTAAAGAATCGGTTGAAAAATTAAAACAAACCTCTAAAGGTTCATAATCTGGCTTATCCATTTCCTCCATAGGAATACTCGCTAATATTTCATCAGTCAGTTCCGGTTGATTTTCCCATTCATCGATAGTTCCATCAAGCAAACGTTGATAGAAATCATCACTAGCGGTTGATGGAATTGTGGCTGATCGGTTAACTGTGGCTGAAAATTTTTTTATTGTTATAGAAACAATGAATAGAGATTGCTATTAGAAGCTGTTTTTGGTGGGTTTCACTGTTTAGGAAAAAGATGAAAAATATCTTTCGATATTTTTGAGGTCTGCGAGTAGGTAATCGAGAGATGATGTGTCCAAATATATGAGATTCGATAATATTAAACAAAATTTGAAATTTTTAATTTAAAAATCAAATTCGCCTTGATCGAATTTGGGGTTCTAAATATGTCCGTCATCGGGTTTGAACCTCTGTGCCCACTAGATTGTATACTTGCAAACCTAAAATATCAGCAAAAGCATTTTTTCAGAAGCCACTTTTACTGCCTTTAAATAAACAAAAAATCCAAATCTTGAGATTCAATTTTTTAGACCTTAATAGATTAGAAAAAAATCTTACAAGAACAAGTAGATGCCATCCTTTGTTTGCCTCGTTTCGTTTCCTCTTCCATTTGATAAACAGCCATTTGATCATTTGTACTTAAATCCTGTTCATCTTCAAATGAATCAACAGTAGCATAACTCTTTGGTGTTGGAGGAATTTGCAAATCCATTTGGTCTGTTTCTTGAGATCCATTATCGCTATCATTTCCATCAACGAGCAATTGTCGTCTTGGCATTTGTTCTTCAGTTGCAGTAATGTTTTCGACTAAAAAATATAAACTAAAATTAGTGTTCAAAAAACAGCTAGAAAAGAAAATCAATAAAAAACAAAGGAAAAAACCATTTTAAATATTCTAAAGCCGCTTTAAGCAGAGTAAATTAATCAATAAGTATCAATTTGTTAACCAACAAAAAAAGAAAAACTTTTTTGTCAGACTCATACAAAAAATACGAAAAAGGAAAAATTCGTTTGGCTAAAATTTCATTTTGTAAAAATTGCAAAATTAATAAATTAAACTTTGCCAAAAAAACAATAAAATTAAAAAAAACTTGCAAAAAAACTTTTTTAAAGAAACAAAAAGCTTATAAAGTTTTCTTGCATTAAAAAACTTAATCAAAAAAATATAATTTTCATAATTCACCTTTATATTCAAATAAACGATCAATTTCTTCCAATCCTTTCACTAGTTCATCATTAACAGAATCATCGTCCACTCTTTCCTCTTCATTGTTGTTTTTCTCATTTCCTTCCTCAACAATTTCGTTGTGGTCAGAAATTAATTGTTGTTCATCTGGTGAAGTATCAATACTATTGTCATCACTCGTTCTCTAAAAATAAGGACAAAAATTAAAAAAATTTTCATCCTTTAAACACGCGAAAAAATTTTAAAAAATAATTTTATTTTCAATATAAATAGAAATTAATATTTAATAACCTCAAAAATTCACAAACCTCAACTCTTTCAACATTTTCTTCCTTTTCTTTATCATCCGAAATAACGCTAGCAGGTCTTTCACTATAATTTTCTTCACCACCATCAACACTGCTATCTTCACTATTAATTATCTTCTTTTGTTTAACTTTGGTCGTTCCTTCCAAATTATTATTTGTCAAGCTCAATTCATCATCTGTATCACTTTGACTATAAAAATTATTCAAAAAAAAATAAAAATATTTAAAAAACCTTGATAAATATTCTTGTAAAGCTTCTTTTTTTAATTTTTCCATTCGCTTTTTCTTTTCTAATTTTTCTTCTTCTACACTTTTTTGTTTCTTCAATTTTTTGGCGTCTTCGACATTTTTCTTCTTTTTAAATTTTTGATATAAATCTGCAAAAGAGGACGATGAGGAAGAAGAATTTGGAATAATTGAAGAAGTCCTTAATTTACTAACTTGTTGCTGATTTGTTTCCTTTGAAGGTTTTTTGGGAGATTCTTCATCAATGTTACTATCTTCATCAGAAGTTGGGCTTAAGCTGATCCCTTAAAAATAAGTTTATATATTTATGGTCTTCAAGAAAATCGAGATATTGAAATTTAAGAGCCCCCTATTTCCATTTACTCGTTATACCTTTGGCGACTAAATTACTGAAGGGATTAACGATCATCCTGGTTTCACGAAGAAGGATGATTGTTCAACTTAACAAACGGCGAAAGTTACATATTGCCCCCAAAATTTTATTTCCCAACAAAAATTTAAATTTATACTTTTCACAATCACAGTTTCTTCAGTTTTTTCAATTTTCTTCTTCTTTGGAATTGTTTTGTCACTTTCCTCTTCATCCACCGTTGGCAGATTTTTTCTTTTATTTTTCAAGTTTTTGAGCGTCGAACTTTCAGAATTTGGTCGTAAACTTGACGAACGTGAAGAATCTTTTGACGAAGTTGATGAAGATTTCTTTTCAATTCGATGCTTTCTCTCGTGTGTGAAAGATGAAGAATAAGATGATCTTGGAAAGTTGTTGTCCCTAAAAAAATAGTCTTATAATTATAAAAGTGGAGCTTAACAATTTGACGTAAATATAAGGAAAAGAAAAAATCTATTGAAACCCAAACCTTTTCATATTCTTCAAAAGTCGGCTTAAAGTGCTTGAAGAAGTAGATTGATCAGAATATTTAGTGCTCTTCTTTTCACTTTTTATCTTCACTGTTTTCTCATGGCGATGCTCTTTATTACTTTTTAAGTCAACTATCGGAGATTGGTCATCTGGAACAATAAAATCTTCGTCTCCACTGTCTTGGTCATAAACTTCTCTAAAAATTTAAATATTAAACAAAAAATTATAAAAACACACTTTCGTTTTCGCTCCTTTTTAGCCTTATAAGCTTCCAATAATTCTGGACATTTCTTTAAAAAAACTTTGAAATCAAAATTTAACTTCAAAAATTAATAACCAAATTTTCTTCCGGCTCAAGAGTATTCGCACTTGAAGGGTAACCAACCCATTTGACCCAATAAAATCGCTTTTGCTTTTTGGCATCCCATTCGTCAGAGACTATCTTTTCAACTTCATATTCATCTTCGTCAGAATTATCACTGCTGTCCGCCGAAATTTCTTTATCAAAAACGTCCTCTTCCTCTCTTGGCATTAATTACATAAACTTAAGTAGAAAAATGAGAATATGTTGATAAAATAAAATTTATTTAAACTTTTATAGCACCTAAAAATTAAATTAGTGAAAAATTAAAGAAAATAATCATTAAATCAAAAATATAAAAAAGACAAAAAATTGGACTAATTAGTCATGAATAAAATAAATTATCTAAAAAGCAAGTTTACAAAAGTCGTTTTGCGAGCAAAAATAGTTAGGCCCATAATGGGAAATAATCCGGCACATAATGGGACTCACCTTGTTAAAATTTTGAGGAAAGAGCACGTAGAAAAACGAGAGACATTCTAATTTATGAAAATAGTGTTGAATTAATCTGAAAAAAGAAAAAGGGGGTAGGGGATCATTGAGTCCCGCCGGTTGAGTCCCGGGGCCATATTTTGGGCCATAACTTTTTGGGGGTTCAACCAATTCAAATAAATCTTTTATCATCTGAAAGCCCTGGATAAGGGGATTATTTCCGCCAACTTGATTGATTTGATCAGACTATCCTACAAAAAGTTACATCTAGATAAGTGCGCGCAATCGTGATTTTTGATCTTTATTAAGCTGTAACTTTTTGTTTGTTGATCTGATTAGATCACTCCTGCTAGATAAAATAATCCTTATATCAAAAGCTTTTGATTGATATATTAAGTATCTAAATTAATTAAGAATTGAAAAAGTTATGACCCAAAATATGGCTCATGGACTCAACCGGCGGGACTCAATGATCCTGTTCCGAAGAAAAGAGTAAAAACATATCGCCAAATTTATTTTTATGCAAAAACAGCGTATTTTTGAAACTTATTTTCATAATCGATGAATTTTGCTTGCTTATTGACGAATTTTTCCCTTTTTTAATCTGAAAATTTTTAATTTTTAGGATTAATTTTTGTTCAAAAATTTTTTATTTGCCTAGACGAAACGATTTATAAATGGTAAATCTTAAACAATTTTATTATTTTTTAATTTCTTTTCAGGCAAAACGTACAAAAAAGGTTGGTATTGTTGGTAAATATGGCACTCGTTATGGAGCATCTTTGAGAAAAACTGCTAAGAAGGCAGAGATCTCTCAACATGCTAAATACACTTGCGCTTTTTGTGGAAAGGTTTATTTTAACAATTTTTATAAATTTAAAGCAAACTACAATTTAGGAAGCAATGAAACGATCGTGTGTTGGTATATGGCAGTGTATGAAATGTCATAAAAAGGTTGCTGGTGGTGCCTATGTTTACAGGTTCGTGATTTTTTTATTGGTTTTTTTAATTTCTGCTTTTGTCCGTTTACTTTTATTTTGGCCCATTCAAAGTAACCCAAGAGTAAGACAATTTAGCTAGTGGTAAAGATTAGGGCCTAAGTACACTTTACCGGGCGATTTTAGATTTTTATGATTTATATGTCAATCGAAAGAGCTCGGCGAGCTGAGTCGAATGACACCAAAATTAGCCCGCGGACTCAACTATGGACCGAGATATGGGTCCCCAAAAATCGAAAAACCATAGGGGGGACCAAGCACTTTTTTGGGATAAAATATTCAAATATGCAAATAGTAACTCATTCGAAAGAGCTCCTCGAGCTGAGTCGAATGACACCAAAATCATCGTGATTGGACAAGTTTGGACAAAGTTACGATAGAAAAACTAAAACCTAAACCTATGGAGCGTCGGCGAGGCGCTTGTGCAAAACCCCGCGCTTCGCGCGGGGTTTTGCGGCACGCGCCTCGCGGGGAGTCTACGGGCGCTGGGTCTGGGCTCGTAACATAAACCTATTCCTATCTCCCTTGCTCTGGACGTATTTGGGGCCTCCGTAGCAGCAAAAATCTCCACAGATGCCATAGGTAAGGAGCTAAAATAAAAGATCATAACTATGTCAAATCAAGTCAGATTTCGTTGATTTTGGTGTCATTCGACTCAGCTCGACGAGCTCTTTCGAATGAGGTATAATTTGCATATTCGAACTTTTTACCCCCAAAAAAGTGCTTGGTCCCCCCTATGGTTTTTCGATTTTTGGGGACCCATATCTCGGTCCATAGTTGAGTCCGCGGGCTAATTTTGGTGTCATTCGACTCAGCTCGCCGAGCTCTTTCGATTGACATATAAATCATAAAAATCTAAAATCGCCCGGTAAAGTGTACTTTAGCCAAGATTAGCTTTATCCCGACCAAGGGTAAACGCAAGAGGTAAGCCTAAAAAACGAAACACAAGATCAAAATTTAACGTAATGCGCTCACCACTAATTCCGACCCAATGTAGACCTTACAATTAGCTATAATTCCCCTAACTCCATTAATCGACTTTAAGTCACTCATAGCATTAAATGTCACTATAACATCTTTTCTACTTCAGCACAACAACCGCTGCCACAGTTCGAAGCACGATCCGTCGTTTGCGTGAGACAAAAGAATAAAAATTGGGTAATGACAAAGAGGTTCTTTATTTTTTGTTGTTGTTATTTACATAACAGATAAAAATTTGTGAATTGTTGAATTATTTTTGTAAAATCAGGGGATCGTTTTGGACCAAAAACATATTTTTTTGAAGAAATCTTTGATCCGATCTCGTTTAAATAACAAAAAAGACGTCAAAACAATTTTACCCATATATAATTGTATAAAAAACAAATTTTTGAATTTAATAAATATATAATAATCTATAAGTCAATAAATAATTCTTTGGTAGAAGTTTCTTAAAAAATATTTTTTCTATTCTACTTCAAGCTGACCATTCTCTTTTTTTAACTTCATTCTCGCATATGGTCGTAGCGGAAACAATCACATTCTTCTACACTAGGCAGTTCTCCAGTAATCATTGCCTAGTAAAAGTTTATAAAGCTTTAATTTAAAATATTATTTGTAGTATAAACCTGTATAACCCATTCACTTGAAACAGCCAAAGCATTCTTTGCACTTACACATCCGGCTAACTCAGGTTCACAATCGTTTTCGGTGAGAAAGAATTCGAAATTAGCTTAAATTTATTGTTGTTAAAGGATTTATATTTAAGAGATAAATAATATACTTTTCCTGCAAAATTCCAATTTTTCTTCAAGCGTCACAGTTTTATTCACCTCTTTCGAAAAAGGTTCACCATTTTCAATCCCAACAACCGTAGCTCCAAGGTTCCGCATCATTGAAATCCAAATCTCTCCAAATGAAACAACATTAGGATCTTCATTGTAATAACGGTTGTAAACAATGATTCGTTTGCCATTGAAAAGAACACCTTTCAAAGGCTTCCTATAAAAATGGGAACATTTCTTTGTTTGAAATACTACCTACCATTGACAGATACGTCCGGGCTCAGAAGTCGATTCACCAGCGGGCAGCAGAAATTCTTCATACTTGAGCAATTTTTTATCAGCAACACATTCTTGTATCCAAAGACAACTCACACAAGGAATTGACAACGAAAGAGCGGACAAATATTTGTGTGTTCGGTAAAAAGTATCAGCGACCAAAACAGCATGTTCTCCCTCCTTGAGATCCAAAAAATCTTCCATCACGATACCCCCACGTTCTCCAATTATTGTACGATATTCGCGCTTGTTAAAGTCGTGCACTTGAAAAAAATATTGAAAAAATTTCTCTATTAAAAAACCTTTATTTGGACGATTCGCTGAAGTGAACACAAATTTGAAGCCAGCAAAAAGTTTGTCCTCAACGCTGGCAGTACTGGAAGCATACGAACCAGCTGTGTTGAGCTAAAACAGATTTAATTATGTTTAACTTAAAAAAGAATATTCGTTCGCTAGCAAAATTTTCTGCCGAGACATTCTAAAGGTTAATAGTAATATTTGCCTGGTTTGACTCAGAACAACCTATTAAAAAGGCTGACAGGCTCCAAAAAATGAAACAGTAATAATCAAACACTCAACTATGTATACAAAAGCGATAGTAACTTTTACTCCCATTACTTTGACCTATACTAATTAATGGGAGTAAACAAAGCAAAAATCAAATTTACAAAAGATCAAAACCTCAGTAATCTCCTGCACAGGACTAAGAATTTCTATAACATCAAATGGACTTATTGTTAGCTTCCTTTGAGGTGTGCTATTATCCTCAAGAATTGAGATATTGTGGCTATCGTTTAAGTCTTCCAAATTCTCTTTATTTATTGCCGCATCAACATTTTCACCAGTTGTCTCCAAATAATCGCCTTCTCCTTCTTTAGTATCATTCTTTTTAGCACTTCGAGAGATTTTATGAGGAGATTGTTGCTTTTGTGGAGTTGTAATATTACTTAAAGGTGAACGACTTCTAAGCCTCGGTGACGGCCTATTGGTGAGATACTTGTCATTATTGTCGTCTGGGTTAAGAAAATAATTAATATATTATACATATGTATTTAAATTGTAAAAACCTTGAACTCGTTTATCTTCTTCTTTCTCATAAGCTGACATAACATCAAGATTATCTTCAGTAAAACCGTCCAGATTTATTTTTGACCGCTTACCACGAGGTGTAGTTGTAGTTCTCGGCGAAGATTTATTGGCGAGATTTTTGCCTTCATTGTTATCTAAAATATAATTAATACATAATTAAATTATAAAAAAACCTTCAACTTTTTTCCTATAGGCAGACCAAACATGCATATCTGTAGTAAGCTTATCTTCAGTAGAAACATCCCGATATATTGGCTGCTTACCACGAGGTGTAATAGTTCTAGTCCTCGGTAACGATTTTTGATGTGTTGCTTTGGGCGTATCAACTAAACTAGCTTCAGCACGACGCTTGATTAATGTCGGAGTTTTCATATTACTGAGACTTTTGTCACTAATGTCATACTAGAAAATTTGAAGGTCAAAAGTTAAATAGAAAAATTGCACTATACCGTAAAACGAAAAGTTGGTTCCTTATTATAGTCCATTAAAAGATTTCTTGGCGATTTTTCACTCTCACCAAATGAAGCGCGTTTAACCTGAAATTATTTGGATTAGAGATAAGTTGCGGAGAAAAATAATTATAAAAATATACACTAATTTCGGACAATGGTGTAGGATGCTCATTAGATTTGAAAAAGAAATTGTATGGATCTTCACGATCATCAAAATTGATTAATGGCGTCCAATTAATTTGGTTCTTCGCACGTGATCGCCTTCTCTTAGCACTGCCCGGAGTAGTAGAAACAGGAGTATTTCCACGTCCCTCATTTGTAACTCGACGTCGTTTTACAGAAGAGGTTGGAGTAAGCGCTAGTTTGGCCGAACGACGTTTACGAGTTGAGACGCGCCTGTTGGCGGAAGTCACAATTCCAAAAGAAAAATTTGAAGGGGGTGTAAACGGTGGTTGGAGATCCTTTTGAACTAAAAAAGGAAAAGGAATATTTAGGGAGCAAGAAAAAACTGTAATAAAATAGTTACAGACACGAATTTTGATTTTCGGCGTCCTTGGGTATCTTTACATCGAATTTTATAACACATCTTGCTTTGGAACCCACGGCAACTTGATCCTCGAACATAAACTGACGTATCGGTACCTTTCTTGTCTGAGGAGCCCAAAGTAGGTTCCAAACAAAAGTAGCTATGAACCCCAAGAATAAGGAACAAAACTTTACTTTTTGGTAAAAGAACAAAATCAATTATTATAAAAAAACAAACTCTGATCATCAACAGCTTCCCCAATGCGTTTGACGTTGACCTCGTTGTTCTGTTGTTTCAAGTCCTTTTGTGAATCATCCAGATGATCTCCCCCATATGTTCCACTATTATAATTTATTGAGTCAGTAGTAGGTTCCAAATCAAAATAAGAATTCATTTTATTTAAGAAGTAATGGAAAGTAAATGTCTTCTAAAAAAGTTGAAAAATAAAAAAAAATTAAAAAACTGTGGCAAATTATTTCAAAAATAAATGTTGTGCAAAAAATTAATTTTCCAAAACGAAAAACTTCCAAAAGGAATTTTCATTTCATCAAAAATATTTTTTGGTAAATCTGTAAATTTTTTATATTTCGTATTTTTATTAGTTTGCTTCGAATTTAGTTTCACGAATTTAGTCCATGTTTTAGAAATTATATTAATGTTTTACTTATTTTAGTGAGATTATTTTTACAACCAATTAAAAATGGGCAAACCAACAAGCGTAAAGGATGTTGATCAACACGAAATTGTTGATGCAATTTCGACATTTCTGAAGAAAGGAGGGAAAATCAAAGTTCCGGAATGGGCTGATTTGGTCAAACTTGGCACGAACAAGGAATTGGCACCAATCAATCCTGATTGGTACTATGTCCGCGTTGCCAGCATTGCTCGCCGTCTTTACATTCGTTCGCCGGCCGGTATTTTTTTAAATTTTTTTTTGTTTAGAAATAAAAATTTTTAAGGTGTCGGAGCGTTCCGTAAAGTTTATGGAGGCAATAAGCGCCGTGGCGTTCGGCCAAACCATTTTGTTTTGGCATCTGGCGCTGTTATACGCAAATCTCTTCAATCGTTAGAAGCAATTAAGTGGGTGGAGAAAGATGCACGTGGTGGACGAAAATTGAGCAAACAGGTTTTGATTATTTTTATTTTTAAAATTCTTTTTTCTTAGGGTCAGAAGGACTTGGACCGCATTGCAACACAACTCCGCTTTGGGAATGAAGAATAATTTTGAAGTCGGAAAATAATGTTGATGTGGTTTTTTCTGTTATTAAAAATATGTTGAGGTTTTTGTTATTGCTGTTCTGATAAATTTAATTTGACAAATGAGCTTATTTACTGAAAGAACCGAGAGATTAAATTTAATTTTAAAGGATTGAATGTTGCAGAAATGTAAATATCGAATAGAAATCACTCTAGAATTTAGTTGAGTTTGATATCACCTAATTAAAGTTATACATATTTTAAACGTAATTCACGTTCAAAATCAACAAAACTCATTTTTACTCATGCAATAAAAAGTGGAAAAATAGATCCAAAAAAAGTAACGTGTAACAGAGGAAAACATCAAATAGTTCAATTCCGGAGAAAATTTAGTCCTCTCAAATCGTTCCGTTTAAAGATCATCAAGAGGCGATTTTTCAGTAGGAGGTCCACATGGTTGTACCATTCGACAAAGCAAATTATATCTACAGCGTGCACGCGTTTCATTTTCACAAATTGCCACAAATGAGGTGTGGTCATGATGACCAACAATGGAAGCATTTGTGTCTCTATGCATATTCGTGACCCTTGAAAAATAAAAATTAAAGTTTTATTAAAGGTAATAAAATAAGTTATACCATTCCCATCTTGTCATATCCGCATGCCCAGTACCAGTATATTTTGATTGCAAATGCTCCTAAATTAATAAAAAATAATTCTAAACATTTTTCCTGAGGTGATTTAAAAAAATTACTTTTTTGCTAAAGGACTTTTGGCTTTCTTAAATGAAAAATGGGTGGGGGAGGATTTAAGTAAAAATAAGCGAAAAATAAAAGAGATAATGGATTGTATTTAATTTTTTTAAAGTTTTATTTGAAATAAAAAACCCACCAATTGAGCAAGCACATGAAAACGTGGCTCATTAGGTCCTTGAGTGCCACCGCCTGACATTTTTTAGTAATATTGACTTTCTAAAATAATTCAAAAAAATATAGATTATTAAAAATAAAATGTATATATAGATTGAAAACAACATATTTAAATAAAGAGAAAATGTGGTACTCTTGTGTTATCTGCCCTCATATTCCTTTTTTCCTCATTCGGATTGGATCCAGCATAAAAAAGTTATAGCCTATCAAATTGGGAATAAAGGAAAGCAGGGGTGGATAACAAAAGTACTGAAAATATAATTAATTTTGAAACAAATTTTTCTACGGAATAACGTGTTCAATTGAAATAAAGCTTTGATAAAACCCCCAAACAATCAACAAATACCATCAAATAAAAAACAGTTCAATGCGGGGTATCCCCTTGAGGTTGTTTAATTTTCCGTTCTTGCGCACGCAGATCCCGCTCATGTTCAAATTGTTTATAATCAGCACGAAGTAGAAATTCCTATAAATGTATATTTAAAAATCATAAAATGATTTGATGGGATAAATGACAACTATTTGGGCGAAACTATGTCAAAAATTCCAAAATTTTGGACTTTTTATTGGCTATCCCTAGAGATTAAATGGCTCGTATATAACCCCTAACTTTCCCTTCTCACTGGTACGTTTATGACTAATTAAGAATTGCTTACCTGTTTGTCAAGAAAAGAATCTCGACTCTTCAAATGTGTATCTAACTCTTCCTCCAATTTTTCTTCTTGTACAAATTGCCTCCAATCCTGTGCAGATTTTGCCAACATAGATTGTTTTTTATCTTTTTTCGCCAAAGAACCAACTAATGAAGACAATCCACCTCCTTTTTTTGAAGTTGAAGGTCCAAGAGATTTATCAAGTTCATCGTCTGAAATGCGACGTTTTTTAGCGGAAGAGCTTTCAGGAAGCGTCGTTGCAGCAATCTTATTAACAGAAGAAACCATTCCTGAAGAAGCATTTGTTGTCGGCAAAACTGGAGGTGGAGGTTGCACTTTAACTGATTTAAAACGAAAAAATCTGGAGGTTAGACGATGAAATATACCAGGATCATTAGTAGATTCATCTTTCTCATGATCCACGCTGTATTGGCCGTTGACTTCACTATCGTTTTGTTTATTTACTTCTTTTGAATCATACAAATTAGATTTTCCATTATTTTCGATTGTATCAGCAGCGGGTTGAGTCGTTTCAGGCTCCGAAGACATTATAAATATTGAGGATTGTTGTTATTTAAATATTTTATCGGTAAATGTAAAGATTACAGATAAAAATTATGTAAAATCTAAAAAAAGGCAAATGTGAATTTCAATAAATTTTAATAGAAAAGTTCATAAACAATAACGTCAATTTCGTTCGATGAAACGAGATATTTAGCACAAAATGACATTTTATTTGTTGATATTATAAAGTTTTTTAGTTAAGAAATGTCAAAATGTGAAAAACAGAAATATCCAATAGTGAAATAAATGTCAAAACACCTCTAAAATTCAATCATTTATTAATCTCTTTTAATTATTTTTAATTTGTTCGAATTTTTAGTTTTTATTATTTTATACAAAAAGATTTTTAATCGGCAAAGGAGGATGTCAAATAATAACGAAAATAAAAATTTGCAGAATATCCAGCGAATCGGTAATTTTTTCCTTTATTTTAATAAACTTAATTTTTAAGATACCAATGCCTGCGAAATTATTTTGCAATGTACCCAAGCCGCTTATTATGAATTCGGTGATGGATTTTTGTAAAAATTTTAATAAATGCTTCTTAATGGATTTCAGACATAACGGAGAACAATTGGAAGACCAAAGATCAAGTGGGGCCGTTGTTTGTTTACAAACGTTTGGATTATCCGCACTACGCAATTATGATCGCCAACCGCCAGTCGTTGGAGGACTTTGTTCAACCAATTGAAGAAACCTCTAGTTTGCGTTATGATCCGCCTTATATTCTTATTCATCGCAAAGACGGTATTTACTTTAAATAAAAAAATAATTCTTAATAATTAGGTTCCATCGGTGGTATTTGGATTTATGGGGAAGATGAATGCAAACGAATTTTTGCGTCTATTCAAAAATTGCGAGATATTGTTGTTAGGGAAGAGGCATGTTTTGATTCAAACATGAAGGCGGAATCTGCAAAATCGCCAGTAAAAACAAATGAAACTTCCAATTTCAAGAAGCCAGATGAAGTCATCAAGGTTGCTGTGAAGACGCCAGAAAAGATTATTGAAAAGACAACTCCAAAGAAGCCGCCGGAGGTTAAAACTGGAGTCAAAACGGAAGTTAAGAAGACTGAGGCTAATGCTAACATCAAAATATCACCGACCAGCAATGATAGCCGCTTAAATTTTAGACCGTTAAGAACTTTGGATCCATCAAAATTGATGAAGAAAAATGTGAAGAATATCAATACGAAGCCTCCGGCTAGTGTTGAACTGCCGAAACAACATCAGCAACCACCTCCCACTCCAAAAATTATGTCAAGGGTTCAATCAATTAATAATTTTGTAAGAGAGGTTGATTTGCCTAAAACATCTGATATTGCTGCGGCAGCTGCTTCTGTTTTGCCTGAGATCATTCAAGAAAATGGACGAGGGGGAGATATTGGAATTTTGAAGATGATTTTGTTAGAATTTATTAAGCGTATAGGTTTTAATTTTTTATTTATCTGAGAGCTTATTTAAAATTTTAGATCCATTTGCTTGCCGTCTTTTGAATTATTTACCTCGTGCCGCTTTGTATGAATACGGTTTTGATTTTTTAAATTTTGTTTCAAATAACTGAAAAATATTTTTTAAGATTCTCTCGAAAAGAAATGGAAACGAACAGAAACGGAAGGACCATTTGTCGTTTTCTCGCGAATTGACGAGCCATTTTATTCTTTGTTGGTGATTGATCGTAAACAACGAGGAAAGGAAGATTTTCTGCAACCGCTTGTTCCTGGCATTAAACTTACTAATAAGTCTCCATATATTTTTATTAGCGGCAGGCAAGATAGTAAGAGTTTTTGGTTTTTATTAAGTTTCATTTTAAAAAATTTTTCTTGTTTTTAATTTCCGTGCCGAAGAGTCCAATAAAAATCAAATAATTCTAATAATTTAAAAATATTTATAATTTCAGATATGGTGTTCGGACTTTGGCTTCAGGATCAGGATGACTGTACGCGCGTTTATCACGATTTATCTGCATTGTTGAGTGAGGTTAATAAATTGAATGAGGAACATATGCCGCCGACCATTGATATGTTGTAGAATGGGCAATTTATTCGCTTTAATGATTTTTAAGTTTAAAATAATTTTAAAGGTTAATATAAATTGTTATTTAAATTCTATTTTTAAGTTGTGACCTATATGAAAGAAAACTGTTCAAAATGTGATAAGATTCCTATTTTTATGATTTTGGTACTATTCACTTATAGGCGGATTTTTAATGCATGAGCGGATGTGGACAGATTAGGTGGCCGGGTAAATGGTATCGACCCGTCAGCCAGGGACCGAGATTCAGGCCCCTAAAATTGAAAAAGAAGCTAATTTTGGGATAAAAAATTCGTAAATGTCATTCGAAAAGCACGTTGAGCACACCTGCTTCGTCCATATCCGACCACGCATTCAAACTCGCTACAATTTAAAATTTTCATGATTTTTACTTCTAATATTTTTTGTCTATGTTTTGAGCGTTCTGACACATTTTGAACAGTATAAAGAAATTATCTCAGGATATCAGACTTTTCAATTTCTCAATTTTTCGTGATCGGTTTGAATAAAACATATAAGTTGCATATATTTTTGTTTTACAAATAGAAAGGGTGATTGTTCAACAACTTTTTATCGTTTACCTTGTCCCATTTTGTTGACTTTAAATAGATCAATTTATTTTTCGCGTTACTCTCCTTTTTTTAACTTTTGTTTATAACCTTTTTTAGATAAATCTTTTTATTGGAATATTTTACTTTTTTGCAATGACTGATTCTAATGAGAAAAAAGGAAACAAGTCGATTAAAAAAGATCAAAAGCTTTCGCCTGAGGAACTTGCCGCTAGTCTCGTGGATTTTGTCAAAATGAAGGTTTGAATATTTAAATATTTGGAACTTAAAAAAATTCATTATCAGGTTGAACAGTTGGAGTATCCGCGCTTTTTCTCGGCGTTCAAATTGCCTGAGAAGCGCGTATTGATTGCTTCTAGTGACAGAACTATTACGCCACTTATTACATCGGATATTAAAGTTGATTTGCCAGTTCAAAAGGAAAGTCCGGTAGGATTTGAATGTCTTTAAAAAATGGTTCTTTATATTGGTGAGAGTATTTGACAGGGAGGTCAAGGAGCGCGTATTTATGTTGTCTATCACGTTTAGTTTATCCCCTACGGCCAAATATATATGATTTCTCAAATTTTTGAACTTAAATTTTAGTCGTATCGTGTAAATGGGAAAAACGTCAGGGATGCGCAAGCACAGATTGATCAGTTTGTTCATGGAATGGCGGATATGGTTTTCAAACCAGAAGAATATGGTTTTTGTTCAGCATTGCCAATGGGGGCTGTAATTGAAGAAATTCCAGTAGTTGATCGAAAGACTAAGAAAATTGTAAAAACTAAACAAACACAAACAGCGACAGAGGCTTATCTCAACAAATTTATTTCTGATTTTTGATTTTTTTTTGGAAAGAAACCTAGATCTCAAAGATTGTTAATTATAGGTATATCTTGTGGGTAATTTAATATTGTAGAAATTGTTGTTTAAAAAATGAATAAATTTTACCTTATTTTGATGGAAGTGAAGAATAAAGATGGTTTAAAAACCATTCAATTTTTGATTGTTTATGCATTTTTAATTTGTTTTTTAAAAGCTTTTACACAGCATTTTTGTATAATATTTATAGGATAGGAGCAAGCAAGTCTTTAATAAAAGGCATTTTTGACAATTATAAGATTGCGGGTTTCCCCAAAATTTTTCGCATCTGACTCACCAGAAAGTAAAAGGAATGAGAAAACAAATAGGACGCGGTAACAGAAAGAATATTGGAAAAATATGGCTGTGTAAAATGTCTCCAAATAATTCCCCATTTAATTTTCTAATTAATGTGGACACATTTTGCTTACATATTTTTTGTCATTTTTTTGCATAATTAGTACATATTAGTAACTTTTTAAAATCTATTTTCTAATATTAATTTTAAGATGGTTTTTATTATTTCAATCATTTGAGTATTTCCTTTCCCTAGGGATAGAAAAGATTTAAAAATGGGGAATTAATAGATAAGACAATCAATTGTCAGCGATGACGAAGACTTTTGTCCCTATAATAAAACAAAAACTTTCATTTATTTTCTAATTTATTTTTAGCAATACAAAACTTATTTTGAAAAAAAATTATATATTCTTAAAAAATCTGTATAAAAATATGACTGATCCAAACGAAAAAAAGGCGCTTCAAAAAATTGAAGAAGGCGACAGGAAATTAAAAAAGAATACTGGATTTATTTCAAGCATTTTTGGAGGTGGAGGATCTGGTGTTTCTGACGCAATTGAATGTTATATTAGTGCTGCAAATTCGTATAAGGTTTTTTTTAATTTTTGATTATTTTTCTTAATAGGGTCTTGGTGGTTTCTAACTTTTTGTGTTTAAAATTATTATTTATGGTGTTTGTAAACTATTTAGGGTGGTAAAGTGCTAAAAAATTTCCTCAATTCCTTTTAATTAAAAACGATCAACATTATTTTTACAATTTCTTTAGGCCGCAAAGAGTTGGTATTCTGCTGGGGAAACATTCATTCGTGTTGCTGAATTGCATGAAAAACACAGTGATTCTAAATTTGATGCTGGACAAAATTTCACTGAAGCTGGCGTTTGTTTCCGCAAAGTTGACTTTATGAAAGCAACAGGATGTTATCAAAGAGCTGCTGATATATATGTTGATATGGGGAAGTTTACAATGGCTGCTAAAGCTTATGTGGCATTGGCTGAAGTTTGTGAATCTACTTTGAGTGGTAATATTCCTGAAGAAAGAAATATTGCGAATGTTTTGCCGAAAGAAAAGGTTTCAAATTTTTTAGATTAATTTCTAGTCCAAAAATATAAAAAACTAAACGTTGTTCGCTTTTTGTTTTGCGACCATAAATAACTAAAAAATGGGGGTGGTGCAATTTTGTTTACTCTTTTCTAGAATGCTATTTTTAGTTATTTTTATGGAAGAAAATTTTAATAAATGTTTACCTAGGTCTGATTTTATTCATTAAATTTTCTAATTGGAAAAAATCCCTTTTTGGCCATTTTCTCTCTAATTCAAATTTTTTATTTAAAAAATTTGTTATAATTTTATAGTGCAAAGACTTGTGTCTCAATTCTTATTTAAAAGCTGCTGATTTTTACAAGGGAGAAGAACAAAAAAGTTCAGCTTCTAAATGTTTAGTTAAAGTTGGTTTACTTGCTGCAGAATTGGAACAATATCAACGGGCAATGCATATTTTTGAGGAAATTTCAATTTATGAATCTGAAAATTCTATGTTGAAATATGCTTCTAGGGGACATTTTTTCCAGGTTTTTTTTTAAATTTAAATAATTTACTTTTTTCTTCTCGGCTGTTTATTTTGACTTGAAAAATTATATTTTGGTTTTGTAGTAATTTAATTTCTTTTTCAGGCTTTACTTTGTGCGCTTTGTTATGATCCTCTTGAAGCGGAGAGAGCTTTAAAGCGTTATAAAGGTTTATTTAGAATTTTTCAATTTATAATTTTGCTGCTTTTTAAGAGATTTCCCCAATTTTCAAAGATTCTGATGAATGTAAACTTTTTACAAAATTATTGGATGCTGTTAAGGTTTTTGTAAATAATTCTGAAAGTTATTTTTTAATATTTGTTTTAAGGCGGGCGATCCTGATGGTTTTACGGCAGCCGTTGAAGAACAAGATAAAAAGTCACGCTTTGATAATTGGCATACTAGCATTCTTTTAAAGGTTATTTTTTGCTTGGATATAAAAATTTTATTTTTTTTTCTAAACCTGGGACGTTTTGTTTCTCTTTTTAAGAGGAACAAAACGGTTTCTGATTTTATGTTTTGAATTGTCCCTAAATTAAATCTGAAAAAGAAATCTAACAATAAGAATTATTTTAAAAAATTTTAGATTAAACGTTCTTGTGGGGATGGTGGTGAAGTTAAAGCAGGTGGGGCTGGAGATGCTGAGGAAGATGATGATTTGCGTTGAAATAATATTTTATATATCAGGAAAGAATTTTTGAATGGTTTTTATTCGGTATTTTTTTTGGAATTTCACTCATCCTATCCCATTCAATTTTCAAAAAGTGTGGTTTTTTGTCTTTAATACAATTTCTTTTTACATAAAGAAAATAATTTTTTCGTTTAACTTCCTTGTATGCTTGCCTCACTTTTTCTACTAAATTTTTATGTAAAGCATTCCCTTACCAGATTAACTTTGTTCTAGAATGAAATCTGGATTAACAATAATTAACTAAATTCCTTTCAGATTTTATTGACTTATATTATTCAAGTTAATGTTTTTTTTAAGAAAATATATTCTCCATTAATCAATTCTCTTATTTTATTTACCATTTTTAAGTGTATAATGTTGCAATCTCTTTCATTTTAAGGCATTTTTTTAGGATTTTTGATTGTTTAATTTTTGTAGCCAATACTTAAAATATTTTTAAGTTTTTTTGTAAATTTAAGAGATTGTTAACATTATCCATTTATTATTATAAAAATATTTTTTGAAATTATAAAATACTATAGAGTATTTATAGACAAATGTTTTTTTATAAAAGTTGGATATTCACTGTATTCTTTTGGAAAAATTTTTTTACAGAATAAATAATTTTGTAAATTTTGTACATATTTTTCAAATGTTTTTAAATTCATTTTATTTTTTTTAAATTTATTTTTCATTTATTTTTTAAAACAAATTTTAGAAGAATGGAACTGCCAGACCCGTATTTACCTGGAGCAGTGTCTTTACTTGATCAATTGGATAAAAAACTTGTGGTTGTCTTAAGGGATGGAAAAACTTTAATTGGTTATCTGAGAACTCTTGATCAGGTATTTGCTTTTTGTTAATTGTTCAAATTGTGTAATGCCGAATCTCCTGAAGTCACGCCGAAATACCAAAATCTTGATTGAACGTTAATGTATATTTTTTACATTTGTTTAAAATGTAATTGTTTAAATTTTTATTTAAAAAAATTTCTACACATGTTGAAACAACCTTTCACGTGATTTAAGTTCCTACCGTATCTACTGTAT